GCCAAATACCTACTTATTTATTAGGACGAATTATTAATATTTATGTAGGTATACCATGATTGATACTTTTGGAGTCGGTGCAGGCAAACTTTACATGTTTCATAATCTTGGCACCGACTCCAGAAGTATCAATCATGGTATACCTACATAAATATTAATAATTCGTCCTAATAAATAAGTAGGTAATTAGTAATTATTTTTCGACGTTTTAGTGTAGGTTTTTTGGAGTCGGTTTTATTTTTTTTTATAATTTTACGCCCACACCTCGTCATCGCCTTGCTATTAATATGTTTATACGTTTCTCTAACTGACATTTTTCAAATTCATTAGAAATCGTACCTGGATAAGCTTCGTTAGAAGATTTTAACATCGTCTATCTCTGTTGTCTCAAAATGAATGACAGAGACGGACCACGAAATGTAGTTAACCGCTCAATACCTATACCTACCTACATGGATAAATAGTATGTGTACTAAAAGCATTACACTTTTATTGTAATAATAATCATAACTTTTTTACGTCTTTCATCGTAAAGGAACTTGGCAAGGAAACACGGCGACAGACTTCATAAGCTGCTAAGTCAGAACCTCACTCATCGATTTACCTAAATGCATGTACCTATGTTGCTATCTAAATAATATAATCAACATAAAAGCTTAATGCAAATAAATGTCTACTTTTATTTTATTTCCGTTCCACCTTCGTCAATGCAACGGGATGTACGACGGCAGAACTGTCCAGCTCATGCAAATAAAATAAATGATGAGTTGCAGTGAATGAATTCTACAATTTAAATGTTCGACTTTTTGACGTAGGTAAGTAAAATTTATTATCTACTACCAACCGCGCTGACCAAAATAGTCACTTTTGTTGTTAAAAGATGAATCATAGATCTGTATGCTAACATTAATACGGTCGCAATTTGGAGATTTCTTGTAGACTCTATCAGTAATAATAACATTTATTCAATTACAATGTGGTGATTGAATTGAAGGAATGACGGTTAATAGTGCGATAAAGCCATTAATGTGGGGTTATTAGGAGTAGAATGTCATTACCGAGAAGGAAGGAGCGAAAGTAATCAAGGCTTCGAAGGAAAACGGTCTCGGGTTTATATTTGGGCGGTCGGAGCTTGTAGCAGAGAAAAATGAGATCGTGCCGTGAAAAACCCGGCGCGAGCAATTGCCCATGCCTGGATGCGAGCTCAGGAGAAGAAACGAGGATCAGATCTAACCAAGTGTCATCAGTCTCAATGTTGTGATGAGTAGGCTCCAGCGGTAAGTTAGACATGTTGACAGATTCAAGGATGGACAGAAGCTTACCAGTCTGTGGAGTTGGCTTGAGCAAATCAGTGTTAAAATCACCCATGACTATAACATGCGCATACTCGGAACAAATTGATTCTAACACGGACTCCAGTTTGGGGAAGTAGTGGACAGAAGGCGGGCAATATACGACTCCCAGTACAGCCTTAGCGCCCTTTACGAGCACCTCGAGAAACATATATTCGATGGAGTTAGAGTAATCACCGGGAGTAGTGTGAATGATTTTATAGGGAATATCGCCCCGAAGGTAGATGGCGACACCGCCGCCTCTTTTACCGAGTCTATCGTTCCGAATCAGGACAAAACCTGGGAGTGAGTATGATGTTGAGTTCAGATTTGGGTTCAACCAACTCTCAGAGACCAGCAACGCGTGGATTATATCCGAAGAGAAAGTGTTAAGAAGTTCGGAATAATGTTGGGGTATGCTTTGTGCGTTTATATGGCAGATATTGAGAAGGTTGTCGCAGTTTTGAAGTTCTAGGAGAAGAGAATTGTGAAGAGAAGACGAGGAGTTAGAAGAGTGCAGAGAGTAAAAAGAAGAGGAGTGGTCACTAGCAGAGACGAATGATTCATCATTATCTGACATGGTTGTGTACTAATATATATAATAACAATAAATAATATCAAATATTAAAAAATAAAAAAATAAACTATACTATACAGTCAAGTTACATGAAGTTAAACCTATTACGACTAATGGCTGCGCATGACCTGCCGGTTGACTGTTCACAATGGTTCACCATAAGATTACTTTTACAAAAGAAGAAACAAGAAAATTTTGCGATATAAAATAAATAACGAATACAGCTGAGAAAGCATAACAAAATACAGGTACAGCTAAATTATTAAGGCTAGATTACTAAAACAAAAAGAAAATTATTTATGTGATGAAGTAAATAAATAACGTTATCGAAATACCGTTATTACAACGTTATTTTGTCTATACAGAATATGTACAAATGCCTTTGCCTCCCTTCTCACGTGACACATCTGTCAGGTGTGATGAAGTGTCAGACAGATGTCAAAACAATACCGGAAAGAAAAACAAAGTGAACAGTGAAAATACCTTGAATTAAAATAAAAAAAAAAGGATTAAAATAGTGACGGTAAAAAACAGGCACAAACTGTAACATTGCGTTAGTACCCACAGCTGGAGTTACAAATGGGAGGCGAAGTACACAATTTAAACAGTAGTGTGAAAATACACTGAAACACTATGACAACACTACTTCGATCTGCATGCCCGCTGCGTTTTGGATGCCCCTGGTTTCGGGATGGAAGCGTCAGCACTTGCGACGCGCGCCGCAGGCTCGGCTGTACGGCCTGCACGTTTCGGGACGGACTCCTGGGGCACTGGGGTGACTGTGCTGTGGCGTTCCATGAGCCTGTCTAGCTCCTCGCTGCTGGAGACTCGTTCGCGGGCGCCGTTTGGCAACTTAATGAACACATTGCCGTCCATGGACCACACACGCCTCATGCCAAAGTGCTTCCGCGCATTCAAAAACAGGGCTTGCCTTGTCCGCGTTAAAAACTCTGAGATGACAAATGGTGTACCTTTTAGCTGTGTCTTCTTCTTCCATACGAGAGATCGAGTTTCCCGACTGACGAACTTTAAGATGACTGGCCGACTGCGTCCTTCTTTGAATCTCCCGAGCCTATGACATGTAGAGATGGAGGCTGAAGCGATGTTGGGGAGTCCAAGATTATCCTTCAGTATCGTCAGGGTGGCTGACAGTGGGTCTTCATTGTCAACGTCAGGTACACCGGTGATGAGTACAAATTTACTGCGGTGCCTTGCCTCGATGCCGTCCACGACTCTGCTGACCTCCTGAATTTGCCGTCTTAGAAGATCCACAACACCCAGCGTGTGCTCACGGAATGTGTAGAACTCGCGGGACAGGGTCTTCAAGTTCTCAGATTGTGCTGGAGATGATGCCTTTGTGGCTTGGAGGTGTGCTTCAAACTCGGCCATCCTTTTCATGAGCGACTGCTCGAGTGCGTGCTGGGTTTCTACAATGCTCCCAAGGCTGTCCATGATAAAGTGCAGCTGACTCGGTTCGTTTGTGCAGTAGAGTGAATGTGTGAAACAGTCGCCGGCAGGTATGTGCACTTATTTCACCAAATACACATTAGATGACTTTCACTCCAATATTATGTTGTAAAGCGAAGTGTTATGAGTATTTATTGGTGGAATTTGTTATGAAAATGTCCTTATATCTATTTTTAAAATAGTTTTTTCTGGGGAGCTGATGTTAACGTGTTTGCCGACTACCGCCGAAAAAAAAGTTATATATAACAATATATTGTCGTTTAAAGTTCAAGTTTCATTGTTAACCAGGCATGTAGTAAAGGAATGAAATCTATCTACCTACATTCTTTGGGATTGCGTCTGACTGACAAAGTTATTCAGGAGTGTTGAAACATTTCTTTTAATTTGTGAAAAACATAGAGTGTCATTTTCTTCATTGAAATTGTATTGCTCGTGATTATGAGGAATTATGATACCTATTTATAGAACTTTCTTTTGTTTTAGGTAAACAGCGCTCAATCACAGTACATTTGACTGGCACGTAAGGTTTGGACAAATGAAATTATGTATTATTTAATTTTTAATTATATATATTATAGAGGCGTAGGTAGTTGTATCCCAGAAAATTGCACCAAACCCATGCAAGTGGAGTCGCAAACTAGACTAGTCGCTGTTACTTGAGTATATGGATCGGTACTGCCAGATACAGGCAGAGTTATCAAATAACAGGCCAAGTTGTGCGGCGCAGTTGCGAAGTTCGGCAGACGGCGGGAGTTCGTCGCGCACAATCCGAACTGAGGCGGGCGCGGACACGTGACCCACGAGGAACCAAAGTTGGCTTGTTTTGATTACAGTATTGACTCGATATCGCATATCATACTAGCTTGCAATGAACGTAGCTGCTACAGTTCAAACGATGGGCAATTTGAGAGCGCTATATGTAATGTAACGTTCCAATCACTAAACAGGCCTGCTCACTTTGTATGTCCACAAGATGTAAGTGAAGATATCTCCTGCTAATGCTTCGCACATGAGCGCTGTAGTTCGCAGGCGACACGCGTCGCGCGCTCCGGGGCGTGACGGGCCGGGATTAGGCTGGCCGGGCTTACGGCTGACGCTTGAAGAGCGCCAGGAAGCAAAAGTTGCGAGCCACGGAATTAGTTGCGTAATAAACTGTTACATCATCCGCGTGCGACCCGTGATGTTTGAAGCAACCTAATATCGGTAAGGAATTTCTTTGTTTTTATTATTTTAGTACCAGCTAAAGTGATTACACAGTCCGCCCTGCCCAATCAGTGCTGGCCGACGACTAACTCTCTTAATTATACCTGCTAGATGCTAGGTAGAGCTAAAGCAGGAAGAGTTAGGTAAGAGCTTATTTTCAAAACTGCAACCTGAACACACATTTTATTAATACTAAAGCAGTAGTAATATTTCCCTTGAAAGCTGAAGTCTGGTATATTGCAAAAGGTCCATAATTACATCTGCGTCGAAAGATTGATATCCACATTCAGCCATTACCGATATTAATGTCTCCGCGACAGATGACAACCAGGCGCCATTACCGCCCTGTAGCATGTTAAATTATTGAAATATGCCATAAATAAATTAGTTATTAACAAAGATATCACTCGCAGCGAGTGTCCTAAAACGACAAACAAGCGAGTGAAGTATTTATGCGGCGAGCGCTGCGAATAATTATAATAAACACTCCGGATAATGAATCGCTGCGGACGGACTTACATCAAATGCAAAAATTATTGTCGCTTCCAACCATTCAATAAAATATAAACGCAGACTTTACGACTCATACATATTTAGCTCCCTGTCATAACCTATGAATATCATAATACGCAGGAATATTTTACATCGATATTATCTCCCTGGGAAAAATATGTTTATCGTAAGGATCAACTTCTCCACCCAAATACAAAATGTTTTACTAAGCGTGACGTGCTTCACAAATACAGTATTCAACTAAGTACCTTCTTAGAGTAAACCTTCAGGTAATTTCTGTAATTAATTATATTATCTGATCTTAGGCAACTTTCAAGTGATCACAGCCTGTCATATTTTAAAATTAATTTCTGTCCAGAGATTACATTAATTTTATTAGTCTTCCGATACCTCAAAAGCTTATTCCCAAAATTAATTACTAACAATTTGAACATCAGTAAACAAAACGCCGGCGGCTGGCACTCCTCGCCACGCGCCGATCACCCAAACGGTGATAAGGCTGATTTATTTTTAGCTACAAGCTGCGCGCGCGGCTCTCCCCGCGCTAATCGCTGACGTATTGCCGGAAACAGCTGATTTACCGAGCTTATGCCCGCTTCCGACACTCGCCTGTTTGTCATCCGCCCGCCCTGCCGCCCGCCCCCTCCAATGACCGAGAAATGTGTCAAATTGTATTTAAAACTGACAAGTTATTTCGTATTAGACTACCCGCTACATTATTTTCCCCTGCAGATTCGTTCGCACGGCCTGTTTTAGGAAGATTTTTTTATAGATCTAAAGATAAATACGGTTGATATAATTCATCAATTATTATTAATTTAAAAAATGAATGCTTAGTAACTGTACTACAAACAGTATGTAGGTACAAGTATTTTGATCGTTTCCAATTTAGTGCAGACGAGCGTTGGGTTAGTCGCGCAAGCAATTAGACGCACGAGCTCTCCATGACGACGGCTGCGGCGAGACGTGTCGTCGTGATGTATCGCACTTTCACTTATAGACTCAGACCTAATTAGAAACAACTACCTATTACATAACTTCCTAGACTTTACGACGAAATACGATTAACATTAATACTGACATGATACATTTTTAGATCGTTGCAAATTTTGCAGTCTCTCCTCGTGCTATAAATATTTTCAAGACTATAAAACAACAAAAAAAAACTCTAAACTGCTTCTACATTACTGTGTACTATTAAAATAATCGTCGCTTGCATCTTTTCTCACGGCGTCTCAGTCTCAGGATTACATTTATTAAAATGAGATTTAAAGCAATTTGCGGCATTGTGTCCGTGTAGGCTGTCCGTCAGCGTTGTCCGGCGCATCAGATACGGGCGCGAGCGGCGGGTGGCCGCCCGTCTGCGCGCCCTCGCCGCGGGACACGGTATCAGCTGATACATTCTACGAAATGTGAGATAACACAAATTATCATCATCGCGCAGTGTTTATGATTCACCTTTCTAGTGTTTACTCCCAAGGTGAGTGGTGACGGTCTGGACCATTGATGTTCAATGGTCTGGACTAACTGACATTAGCTTTGTTTTATTTTTGAAGACATGAGAAAAGTAATGAAAATATACGTATACCAAGCTATATCGTTATTTTTTATTATACTTCGCNGGACTCCTGGGGCACTGGGGTGACTGTGCTGTGGCGTTCCATGAGCCTGTCTAGCTCCTCGCTGCTGGAGACTCGTTCCCGGGCGCCGTTTGGCAACTTAATGAACACATTGCCGTCCATGGACCACACACGCCTCATGCCAAAGTGCTTCCGCGCATTCAAAAACAGGGCTTGCCTTGTCCGCGTTAAAAACTCTGAGATGACAAATGGTGTACCTTTTAGCTGTGTCTTCTTCTTCCATACGAGAGATCGAGTTTCCCGACTGACGAACTTTAAGATGACTGGCCGACTGCGTCCTTCTTTGAATCTCCCGAGCCTATGACATGTAGAGATGGAGGCTGAAGCGATGTTGGGGAGTCCAAGATTATCCTTCAGTATCGTCAGGGTGGCTGACAGTGGGTCTTCATTGTCAACGTCAGGTACACCGGTGATGAGTACAAATTTACTGCGGTGCCTTGCCTCGATGCCGTCCACGACTCTGCTGACCTCCTGAATTTGCCGTCTTAGAAGATCCACAACACCCAGCGTGTGCTCACGGAATGTGTAGAACTCGCGGGACAGGGACTTCAAGTTCTCAGATTGTGCTGGAGATGATGCCTTTGTGGCTTGGAGGTGTGCTTCAAACTCGGCCATCCTTTTCATGAGCGACTGCTCGAGTGCGTGCTGGGTTTCTACAATGCTCCCAAGGCTGTCCATGATAAAGTGCAGCTGACTCGGTTCGTTTGTGCAGTAGAGTGAATGTGTGAAACAGTCGCCGGCAGGTATGTGCACTTATTTCACCAAATACACATTAGATGACTTTCACTCCAATATATGTTGTAAAGCGAAGTGTTATGAGTATTTATTGGTGGAATTTGTTATGAAAATGTCCTTATAACTATTTTTAAAATAGTTTTTTCTGGGGAGCTGATGTTAACGTGTTTGCCGACTACCGCCGAAAAAAAA